CCATTAAATTTGCTCGACTGCGACATCGAGGATGTCTCTGCAGATCTAGACGTCTTTAACTTGCAGCAGATACGACACGGGAGAATCGAGAGATCTAGAAATGACAACTCGTTAAGAAAAAGATATACGCGTGTTTGACATAACGGAAATAGCGAGTATCCGTACTCGATGGAAAAGCGTGATTTCGAAATTTTAATTGGCTTGCAGCGTTTCTAATTTAGTAACACTAAAATGATACGAGAATTCTCTCGAAGATCGTATTAAAAAAATATAATACGAACACACAGATTAGTTTTTAACATTCAAGTTCGGACGAGTGCCCAGACGAGTTTATAAACAGCGTCGCCGAAAGAGATTTTGGCATGTAACAATGACTATGATGCAAGAGAAATTATATTGGTAGCCCACAAAGGAATAAAATATACATTCGAATTGAAAATCATAGGCGTCTGTCGAAGAAAAAAATATTGAAAAATCTGTTGGAAGCCAGATAGATAAACGATATTCCGATGTGCAAAGTGAATATTACGTAAGCTCGTAAAAAAAAAATACAGCTTGCAAAGAAATCAACTGAAGGAGTGAGTAAATCATTTCAAGAAGATAAAAAAAAAGACTGCAGCAGATGTATTCACTTTAACTCGAAAACTCGACATGAGCATTAAGAGAAAATATTTATGTACGACTTAACGTTTCACATAAGAAGTTTTTAATTGTTGTGTATTTATTCTGTCTTTAACTCTCGACAAAAAATTCAGAGAACTGTCTTATGACAAACTTTTTTGTGAATTAACTGATAATGAGTATTGACGTAATAAGCATACGAAATAAGGAATAGAACAAAATGCTAATGGCAGATCGACGATCTCTCTTACTTTTTCCCTCAAAAATGAACAGGTCGCCGTGCAATCCTTGTGTAAATACTTCGCTGATTAACAAGTAGGATCATCATCGTTCTATAGAACGACGAGATATCCTTGTCACTTTACGAACCAAGCTTTAGGGTCCTTTCATTGCTAAATCTAATTAATGAACTCTATTATGACACGCTGAAAGCTGGCCGTACCATAGATGGAAATTAAATTAATTAGTTATGTATGATACTATATTAAACCATATTGGAACGCGAATATTTTGTAACAGTAAAAAGTAGTTTTCAGGGATTAAGAAATGTAAATCTAATAATGTGTTTTTTTTTCAATAAAAAAAAATATCTGCAAAAAGAGTTCGAAAAAAGAAATGATATCCGGACAAACGTTTTCAGAGACAAATGCTAACAAGTGACAACGAATCACGGACTAGTTCCGAATTCATCAATCTGTTACTAAAATTCAGATTGTAGATTTTGGATCAACACGGTCTGTGTGCTGGCACAGTTTACGTCCGCAGTTCGCTATCGCGATGATTCGTTGTTAGTGATCATCTACACGATGATGCTTGCGGCACTCGCGCCAGTCTCTCTCTCTTTTTATTGTCGCGACGAGTGACGTCAATAGCCGCTAATCTTGGAGCTCACTTCCGAAAATTATGACGTTCGCGGCGCGGACGTTTAGGGCGATTATTCGTTTGACGATGACATATAGCTGTCTCCTCTTTCTTCTTTTCATCCAGCGCATTAGACTTTTTGTTAGGGGGACATAACATTTATCTTACAGTCACGTAAGTACGAAAAATTAATCTTAATAATATAAAATTATTTATATTTATATGAAATTTAAACAAACATCAGTTAAATATAGTTAGCAAAAATATATTTTCAAAGCATACTACTTAAACAAAATAAAATTAGTTTAAATAAAAAAATGTAATATAAATGTTACATAAATATAGTTTATAAATTAAAATTTCTTCAACTTAAAGAAAATTAGATTTATTTTTAGATATAATTTATGAAAACTTCTTTTTAGTTGTATATATTTGTAGATTAAAGAAAGTCATAGACACATCACATTCAAGTATTTACAATTTGAAAAAATTTTTAATTTAAAATAGATTAATAATTTAATCGATGTCATTTTTTTTTGCGTAATAAGAAATAATATTTTTAATAGAATTGAATATTAATGCGCTTGTTGGAACTGTAAAATCGAAGCGCAAAAACACGCGTCAAGCGAAGCTTAAATAAGATCGTCTACCACAAGACGTAATAATGCAGAAGAGCTCGGCTTACATAAATCAGAGCAAATTTCCGGCTGAGATATCGACTGCTTGCCCGGACGGAGTCTCTTTTCGGCGATTTTTTATCGCAGGAACCCAGACATAATCGGCAAGGATTCCTCCGTCACGTATAAATCGTCGCGGATAGGAGGTTGCCATCATTACCCTTGGCCGTCATCGCGATCGCAAAACATGACAATTGTTGATGGCAAACGTCGTGTTTTCCTCGACGGGAGGAAGAAAATCGCTCGTTTTCATGCCGGCAAACTGCACATAGACTCGTGAATCGCGCGATTATGACAGCCGGCGGTTTTCCCGCCCACGTCTTTCTACCCTCCTTTTCTCCTTGACTTCGAAAGGAAATACCGCACGTTCGATGTTGGGGTAATGACGCAACTCGCACGATCCTGTCGTCGTCGTCGTCGTCGTCCTCGTCGTCGTCGTTGTCGCATGTCATTGTTCTTCGCGTTATCGATTCCGTCAAAGTTGCGCAAATCCTTGCCGATACGTTACGAAGGACACGGTAAACGGCTTCAAGAAAATAGTTGTAATTTGGTCCCATCATAATTTGACGTCTTCTAGACTTATTACTAGTAATAGAGATGCGTGCACAAAGAAAAAGTAGTATAGCAGAATGTAAATATTATATGTAATAATTTGTGGTGATATCACTTTTTACCGTTTTGGGATATGATATGATATGTTGAAAGAGTGAATGTGATTCATGGCTTGGGTTTCGTTCTGTACACCCATCAACTTTCATCCAGATTAAATGAGTTTGACTTAACGATATCTTCAAGACATCAAGATTGTTGTACAAATACAAAAAGAGATACAAAAAGAGATACAAAAAGAGATCGTCGCTCGAAAGCTACGATTCTAATTGATTGCGTTGAAGGATTAGCATGACAACGGAATTCGTCTTATTGCTGTTTGACGAGCTGAATGACTCTTTAGGGTGCGACCGCCGAGTTATTAACTCCGCAAGGAATTAGGTTAGCTTAGTGTTTCGAATTATTTGCCGAGAAATCAGTTGGTGCGTCTGTATTTCGACACGGGAAGACTTGCGTCTGCGGCGTCGCAGGGATATTCCTATCGCCGAAAGAAATTAATAAAAATTAATAAAAAGTCCACGAGGTGCTCGTTATTATTATTATTATTATTATGAAAAATAAGGAAGAAAATTTTAAGAAAATTAACATGACTCTCGGTATTTAATATGAACCGTAGGAAACCGCGAAGCGGTTAATCTTCCAAAAGTCGAAGTGCATCGTACAATCGACGACTTAACGTATATATAATATCACCGACCATCTCTTTCGCGCGAGAGATCGCGGTTCGCAAAAAGCCCCGGGCGATTTGCCGGTTGACGGCAACGCCGGTTTTAGAGTCTGTTAATTTAGCGGGAGGGGGAGGAAGCTTTTTGCGCGCACCGAGATTGATTAAGCCCGCGATGGAAGCGTCTCGATTATAAATAATTTCATTCCAGCGGCGCGTTTTGCCTCGCTTGACCGCGTGCGCGCGCACGCACGCACGCACGCGCGCACGCACGCACGCACGCACGCACGCACGCACGCACGCACGCCGCACGCACGCACGCACGCACGCTACGCGTCGC